AGCCGATGAGAGATGAGGAGCTCAAGTTTTGCTGGGGAGCAGCCATTAACATGTATTACACACATGAAGTAGCACCAAGCCGCATAGGTGTTTCTCTTCAAGAGGACACAGGTTCCTGGTGCAGAAATACGTCACTGGATGGATTCAGAATTCTAAACACAGTCAGTCTGGTCCAGTAGAGGCAATTTAAGCAGAGACACAACGTTGACAGTCAAAGAAGAGCTGAAGTTGTGACGTACACAAGCTAGGACAGGAGAATGACAGAACCAAAGAGGGAAGGACAAACTACAAAAGAAGGGAGGCGGGATCCAGGACCAGAGGTGAGGTTAAAGAACAGGGAGAGGGACCAGATAAGCAGGGCTATGGGCCAGGTGACAATAGCTCAGCTTCCGGGGTCCTGAAGACTGGTGACCCACCTGGTCTAGGTGACTGAGCCCCAAGGAAAACTCTGGACACCAAGACTCAGGTGAGCTTTCCTGGCTGTCACACATTGCTGCCCGGGGGTATGAGCTCTAGTCATAGCTCTGCTGGGGGAAGACAACTGGAATTCCAAGTAGAACTTTTCTGGATGTTTCTATCCTTTTCTGCCCATGCATCTCTTCCCTTGGCTGATTGAAATCCATAGCCTTTCGCGGATGAAGCTATAACTAAAAATATTGGAAAGAACCTACATACCCATTTACTGGGTAAATGCGTTATGAGGAAGACACACAACAGAGTACCATGCAGCTGGAGACACGATTGTAGCGAGGCATTCCGGACCAGACAGTGGGTGATTTCCATTACACAGGCACATGCACAATTTTCTTTTTCTCATCTCAAGTGAGAAGTACAAGAAGGAAAACAGAGAAACTGGTAAAGTTGGTTACTTCCTAAGGTGGGGCAGAGGGTAAGACTTTTCTGGGCATACTTTTTTATCCAGTTTTGACTTATAAACCTTGTAGATGCTTTGCATATTCAATGAATAAAGAGAAATCTACAAGTCTGGGGAAAAACCAGACTCTGGAATTGAAAATAAACCGACATGGATGAACCTAAGTAATTATCAGATGGATAACATACCCACGCAGAAAAAAAAATTAATTCAAGGAATTTTTGAATTTCATTTCTATATCATCACTGAGATCTATCTATTCTGGGACTATAAAAAGCAAAGAAATTCTAAACTTTACTCAGTAGACGATGTGGGTTGAATTGTGTCCCCTGAAAAGATGTGCAGAAGTCCTAGCCTCTGGTATGAAGGAGACGTGACTTGCGAAGAGGGTCTTTGCAGATGTAACAAATTTAAGATGATGTCATACTAGATTAGGGTGGGCCCTAATCCAATAATGGGCATCTTAGTAAGGAGAGAGAAATTTGGACACAGAGATACAGAAACACACAGATAGGAGAATGCCATATGAAAACATTGGCGGAGATCAGAATGATGCATATATTAAGATAAGGAAAGTCAAGGGTTGCCAGTAGCCCGCAGACCCTTCCTAGGGTGCTCTGAGGGAGCATGGCCTTGCCATTGCTTTGATTTTGGACTTCTGGTCTCCAGAACGGAGAGAGAACAAATGTCTATCGTTTTGAAGTCGCTCCCTTTGTTGTCAGTGATGGTGCAGAGTCATTGTGAAATTCTGTAATTGTGGAAAAGAGAAATATCATACAGTGTACTGATGTTGTCAGCCAGGGTCCACACTTTTAGCAAAGGGAGATGCCAATACAGAATGGGGTGAGTAAAAAGGAAGGCCCTGTGTTGGATTGGAGTGGAAGGCTTCCATGTGAGCACGCGTGCACACACAGATTTCCTAGCTGTCAGTCCTGCGAAGGCCTCTCAGAGGCATTGACCTGCCTGTAGTAATGAGCACACAGAGTCCCCAGATGTTGGTTTCTAAGTACTGTTCCACACTAACAGGAACCAGACCTCTTTGGAGAAGTAGCTGACTACTATAGAAAAGTATAAGAAAGTATATAAGGTATTTTGCTGTGCCAGAAAGGAAGGAAATGCTCAAAGAGGGAAGGGATATATCTAAAGAAACATAGTAGCCAACTTAAAGGGGCTCCTACTGGTTACATTTGTGACAGTCTGAGCATCCAGAGGAATAGGACAAAAACAAATAGTTCTAAATTAATAGAACAGAAACAAAACAAAAAACAGACCAAAAACAAACCCATCATGAATCCATACTGATACTCAAAAACCGAGCAAAATGAATAAAAAAAACAAAGGAGGAGGCTTCTTTATAGAAGAATATCACCTCATGTAAGCAGAAGGAACACTAGAACATTCCCATTTTGCAATTCCAAGGTAATGGTTCATTCAGGAAGGATCATTAACGGAGGTAAAAAGCCAGGTTATTAGAAAGAGGATGTTTACATGGTTTCACAGGTAACTTAACAGTTGCCAAAGGAAAAATGGTACTTTTCCTTCAGAACAATCTGGCAGCTCCCAAATTAACTAAACGATCAAACTCAGCAACAGGAAGAGTGGGCCAGCTGACATTAGTGCCTCCCGATGCGATGCAGTTGGAAACGAGCATCACCTGGATGGCATTCTTGCTAAAAATGGTTCAGCTGAATCCAATGAAGCGTCTAGCCCCGACTTCGCCTTGAAGGAACATACAGGCGGAAAAGGAACAAGTTAAAACACCGAAAAAGGAGGCAATCACCCAAATCCGCAGTGGGGGCCGTGCTGCCGTCAACAAGGCTGGATTCGGCCAAGGTCAGTCGGAAACACAAAGTGGGGAGATGTTTTAGATGACAGGAGTCTGAAGAGAGCAAAGCGACAAAGCGACTTATTGGAACTTAGTGAAATCTTGGTTCACAGATCCCAGCCGTGAAAGCCATTTTGGGGGACCATCAGGAGAAATGAGAACAGAGATCGGATTTTAGACAGATTATGGAGCGATTGTGAATTTTCTTAGCTGTGATAATGGCATTCCGATGACGTAGAGGAACAGCCTTATTCTTAGAAGCTGTACTCCGGGCTTTTTAAATGTGAAGTGTTATGATGCCTGCAGTTTGCTTTCATATGGTTTTAGTAGAAATGGAGGAGGGAGAGAGAAAGCACAGGTGTGCAGGTTGTTAGGTTTTTTGAGTCTAGGCTGAGGATATATAGAAATTCGTTATCTTTCATTTACTCTGGATGTTCAAATTTTTTTATAAAAAGTTGGGGGAAAGGAAAAATATTTAGAGAAACGGCACATTTGGTTTAGAGAAACATGGGAATGATCAAGTTTAAATGTAGTCCGATGTGAGGTGTAGAATATTGAGTTTGGGGTGGTACAAGAGCCAAGGGAAAGAAGTGGCATTTGCAGTCACCTTGGCAAACTCGGGAGCTCTGGGGTGTGGGGACCCACTGGAAAGTGAGCCCCATAAAGGCAGAGTTTTTGGTCCCTTGTGTTCACTGCTAGACCCCCAGTTCCTAGAGCAAAGCTGGATCATGGTAAAGGCCCAAAAAACACGCACCTGCTGGAAATGAAATGTAAATAGCTCAGAGAAAAACATCTTTGTCTGATGTCTGAGGATTTTTTCACGATAGACTCTTGGTCAAAGATTAAAGCATTTTTAGTGCCTTTCACATATATTGTGAAATTCCAAATGGTTATATTGGTTTACACCCAACTAGTGTCTCCCTCTGCATTCTTTCTAATAGTATTAGAATTTTAAGCAATTTGACAATCTGATACGTGAAAAACAGCGTATTCTAGTTTCCATTTCTTTCTTTCCTAGAGAAGTTTTGGTTTGTTTGGTGGGGTGGTGGGGTTGTGTTTTTTTTTTTTTTGTATTTTGATTGTTTTGCATTGTTCTTTTGTGAATAATCTTTTCATGTCTTTTGCTTGTTTGCATTTGAGGATGTATATGTTTTCCTAACTGATTTAAATATAGTGTGCCATGTGGTTTATATGAACTTTAAAAAAACAACAACAACAACAACAAAAAACCAAAAAAAACAAAAAACAAAAAAAGAACAGGGAGAGAAGGGCAAGAGATGTGAGACCAAGAGCAATCTCCTCTGTTTTCCTCCCTTCTCAGTTCACCTACGAACCACTTTCAGAATAATGTCTTGATAGCTTACCTCTGATCCCATCACTGTCTTGTTTATATACTTCAAGAGCTCCCCCCTGCTTACCAAATTCAATCTCCATTCCTCCAGTGTTCAGCGGTCCTCCCTGATTTGTCATCAGTCTACCATCTCACCAGGCACCCTTACTACACTGCTCCACCTCCACCTCACCACTCTAGAAGCATGCAAATTCACCTCATTCTCCAGCTTGAAAGCTTTTGTTCAACTCACTCTACCGCCTTACAGTTGTGAGATTTAGCAAGTGAAAATATAGAATGGCCACTTAAACTGGGGTTTGAGATAAAGCATGAATTTTTCCATATAATGTCTCATGCAAAATCTCTATTTATCTGGCTATCCTATCCTCCAATCCCAACAGTACAATGCAAAATCAGACTTTAATGTCACACTCAAATGTCCCTTCCATCATGAAGATTTCTTCCTTCATCCCTCAAAAGTGTACTCCTTCCTTAGTTTGGTCAACATGTATTTACTACGCTAAGTGCCTCGAGTCAAAACTGAAGAAGGATTAGTCACTATCCACACGAACTTTCACAGAGAGAGAGGCCCAGAGAAGAAGCACACAGTTAACAATAGAGAGGTAGTAACAATGGGCCCTGTGAGCAAAAGCAAAGCACATGCCTTCCTGTATTTGCACGACAGATACTTATGAACGCTTTGAAAAAACAGACTTCACACTCAAAATATACAACAGAACGTTCCTTCCAAAAAAATTTATTTGGATAAACGTTACCAAAAGCAATTTCTTCTTTTGCAATGACTTCCGCCTTGACATGACAGAGATACTGTTGAGACAGGTTTTTTTCAAAGGAAGAATATCTTTGTGTAATGGAAATATGATGAGGGTCCAGTGAATGGCCAACTGGTTTGGAGAGACTAAAACAGTACGCGAATGTTTCTAGATCCTAATAAAGAACGCTAGACTTACCACACGTTGAGCTGCTATCAATGCTGCTAACGTACTTCGCCCTGGCGCTCCCGGAGCACAGAAGGAAACTTGAACTTTGCTTCCCTTGATGGTCATGCCATCCGCTACTTGCTGAACCTCTTCGGCGTGCTCCGCAGTGTTATATTCAACCACTGCAAAGCCACCAACATAACTACCTTCATCCTGTGCAAGCTGATTTAATACATTCTGTTAAAAGGAGAACTCGAATATTCAGTTAGAAATATTTATTTTCAGTATATAATTTTCAAATTCAAAAACAAATGTATCAGAGCATGATGCTGGTGAAAATAATATATTCTTTCTCTCTAAAATTAAGTTTCTTAGTTGTGGGAGGCCTGGCTGGCTCAGTTGAGAGAGCATGAGACTCTTGATCTTGGGGTCATGAGTCTGAGCCCCAAGTTGGGTGTAGAGATTACTTTCTAAATGAGTAAATAAACAAACAAATAAATAAAAATAAAAGTTCATTAGTTGCTTAGATATGGTCCTTACTGAAGATAGGATGATAAACAAGATTCTGTCAAGTTTCTTTTTAATTGTTTGATTTTCTAATTTATTTTAAAAGTCAATGCTCAAGGGGCGCCTGGGTGGCTCAGTGGGGTAAGCCTCTGCCTTCGGCTCAGGTCATGATCTCAGGGTCTTGGGATCTAGTCCTGCATCAGGCTCTCTGCTCGGCAGGGAGTCTGCTTCCTCCTCTCTACCTGCTTCTCTGCCTACTTGTGATCTCTCTGTGTCAAATAAATAAATAAAATTCTTAAAAAAAAAAAATTCAGTGCTCAAATGATAATATTCCCTCTATTTTAAGAAAGATGTAGAACTGATAATTTAGACATAGAAAAATATGGAGACTCAGTAACTGAAAGCTTCTTTGAATTTACCAGATACGTGGACAGTGAAAGATACTGAACAATTATTTGACCACATAGCTATGTAAATTAAAGTTTGTATTATCAAGAGAAGAAAAGTAGGAGGAACCATATTCAACTTTTAATTCAATAATTTTTAGGCAGATCTCAGGAATTTGGTCAAGTATTCCAAATCAAAATTTATTTGGGAAAACTGCCCCAGGGTTTGTTAAAATGCCATATGAAACACACAAGTTTTATTTCTGAATGTGCCCTAAATGAACTCCTGCAATGCTGAGCTTGATTTGTTTCCAGTCACCCACCTATAAGAGTGTAAAGGAAGATACTAAAGTCCTGGATCTATAAAGACTGGTACAAAGAGCAAAAATAAGAACAAATAAGACACTAAAAAGTTTCAAATTTCTGAATATGTCTGATTTATCTTAAACACATTTATGTGATAAAGTGGTAAATGTGATAAAATTCAGCATGGTAGGTCTCAACACGTGTTTGGATTTCATGTCTCCTAAGTTAATATTACAATTAAATAATTTCAGTCTTTTTAAGTTTCTATCTTATTTCAGAAACTTCACTTTCTTGTATTGTTAGAACAAATTTCTATTTTTCCCTTCACATTCTTCTTCCTTTTAAAACTGTCCTCAAATGTCTTTTCTTCCACAAAACTTTTCCAACTACATGATAGAAAGGCAAAACATCTGCCTCTTCCAAACATTTCTCCTACAACCCCATTCCTCTTGTAATCCAAACCAGATATTACAATCAGATTTGTAAAAGCCATCAGTCTTTGATGTCTCATGATCACAAGATAAGAGACTATCTTCAGTACAATCCACGTCAACCTACCAGGCAAAAGAGCCTGAATTTCATAGATCCACTGATAAAGGCATCATAAATTTGTTTTATTAATCTTTTGAGAACTTTTGAAACACTTACTATTATTCCTGGTTCATTATGATAGCTTTCATGCCATATAAATTATAATACCATTTTAATTCTTTCAAAAGACAAACTCATCTAAGTTCACAGCATCAGTAGTTTTAGAGAGGAATATTTCAGTTCGGTAGGAAAGCCATTCAAATATGGAATGGTCTGACTTCTGATCTACTTAATTTCCCATTATCTTGGAACATTTTAATAGAAGCTAAATGGTCACTCACAAATAATATAACAAACATTTTTCTACCACTGGCAACCTAGATTAGAGAACCTGTCATGTACCTTCCAACTCTGGGATACATAATTGAAATACAAGTTGTGATAAATGGGTTTTCTCCTCATGTTTGTTTCAAAGGCCTCAAATATAAAGAATTTTCTTTGACCACAGAATACCACTGAATAATTTTAGTATCCAAGAAAAGGATATGGATTAGATATCAACATCTATCACCTTTCAATAACTGGGAAAAGGTTGGATGTAAGATCTGTCACAAAATTTTCTAACTTTATGATGCTCTTAGATGGTTTCTTTATGTATATATTGGGATTGGAGGGGTAGAAATGTAAGAAAAAGATGGTAGCATTAATCTATTGTTCATATAATTAGAGTTGTACAGTATATATAGTTATTTAGTTATATATAATCTGTATTAGTTATTTATACATTATACAATATATTTACAATATATATAATAATTTATATATTTATATAAACATGATATATAATACATTATAATAATATATAGGTGTATATATATGTGGTTGTGTGTGTATATATATATATACACACATAAATTATATATGCATATATATATATATGTGTATATATATATATATATAAAAAACTATAACAACTCCAAACTTTCTAGTGTAATAGTAGAGACTCAACAAATGTATGGTTAAAGAAAAATGGTGGGTGGTGGGGGCAGGGAATATGGGATAAGAAGAAAAGGAACATGGGAGGAGAGAAGAGAGGGAAGGAAGAAATTAAGGGAAGCAAGAGAGGAAAGAGTTCATCAGTTGCTATTGAACACTTACAAGAGAAGGAGCTTTATACGGTACATATTTTTATCTATTTAGTAGACTATATATATAATTTTACTGATCAAGTGCATGAAAAGTCTTACCAGTGTTGTTAGTTTTCAGGATCTTCTCTAAATGTCTCACCATGATCCCATTAAGACAGAATTTCACATTCTTTTTAAGCTTCATAATACTTTCCTATCTTCCATTACATTACTCTTTATATAATTTATAATTATTTGCTTGTCAGTACCTTCTACAAAATTGTGAAGTATTGAGAGAGTACGTTTCTCTTCTCTGTATTTCTAACTTTAAGCAATATAGTGTCTGGTGCAGAGAAGATAATAAGTAAAACGTGGACGGATGAATGGATCAAAGGATGAAGGGCTCAAGAAATTGATAGAATGAGGTGAATAAGTGATGGGTTTACTAAGACATATCTACTATATAATAATATAAATTGACTCATTCACAAAAGGACTTGACTTAAAATTTAGAGTGACCATAAAGTCTTCACTGCGGACTAAAGAAGAATTAGATTATCCATTGTGATATTCACATAGGTATAATAAATTTGTGAGTGCATGTAGAATACATAAGCAGAAATTTTCACATATTTCAAATGATACCTTAAGAATACATACCTGGCAAAACATGGGTTTATGTATATTGGAAAAAAATTGCAACAGCTCTTCTGAATCCCTGTAGTCACTAGGGAGTTTATCTATACAAAGGCACTTAGAATGAATGAGCTCTGGGGCCAATAGATTAACATCCATCCATTGTGCAAACAGAGCTGAAGTTCCCAACTGTTTACCCAATAACTCCAATCTAGCCTTTGCAGCGAAGTCCTTTTTCATGTATTCCACAAATCCATAGCCTTTGGAATGGCCAGTAACTTCACTGTATACTAGAAAACATCTCTCGATATTTCCATAAGCACGAACAAGTTCTTCAAATTCTTCTAATGTAAAAGAAATGGGCAAGTTGGTAATACACAGCAAAGCATCTGTTGGCTGGAGCTGAACAATTAAGTCCTTTCCTCGAAAAGAATATTGATGAAACATCCGAATTGCATTCTGGGCTTGCTCCCCGTTCAGTAAGGTAACAAAAGCTAGAAGATAACAAAATGAATTAAAGGATTTTCTAAGCCAGTGTTTTCAAACTTTTTTTTGACTATGACCCACAGTAAGGAATATATTTTTGGTCTGTGACTCGGTACACAAATACACATTGCTGAAACAAAAGTATAAGAACAAAAATTCCTACTACATGCGATGCACTCTGAAATATCTATTCCATTTCATGGTATTTTTTAATGCTGACACTACTCACTTAACTAATTTCACAACCAAAGACTCAAATAAAAGTATAGGAATTATATTAGGAGTTCTACTATAAGATACTATAATGTTGTTTTGTTTTTTTATTTTTATAATGTTTTCAAACTACATAAAGATTTTATTTTTCCCAACTACATGTAATGCAAAGTATCGGAAAGTCTTAAAATTTTTCTTTTATATTGTAGCACCTAAATACATAAAGCAAATATTAACAGACACAAAGCAAGAAACTGACAGTAACACAATAATAGTAGGGGACTTTAACACCTCACTTACATCAATGGGTAGATCATCCAGGCGGAAAATCAATAAGGAAACAGTGTCTTTGAATGACACATTAGAGCAGTCAGACTTAACAGATACATACAGAACATTCCATCCAAAACCAACAGAGTATACATTCTTTTCAAGTTCACAGGGAACATTCTAAAGAATAAGTTTCAATAAATTTGAGAAAACTAAAATCCTTTCACATATACTTTGATTATAATGGTATAAAATAAGAAATCAATCACAGGGAAAAAAAATGCAAAAAAAATCCCCCCAAAACATGGAAGCTAAATAACATGCTACTAAACAGCCAATGGGTGAATAAAGAAATCGAAGAGGAAATTAAGAAAATATATAAAGACAAATGAAAATAAAAACACAGTGATCCAAAATCTTTGGGACACAGAAAAAGCAGTTTGAAGAGGAAAATGTATAGGGAAATTTATAGGGAAAATTTACAGGCCTAACTCAAGAAACAAGAAAAATCTCAAACCATCTAACCCAATACCTACAGGAACTAGAAAAGGAAGAACAAACCAAGCCCAGAGCCAGCAGAAGGAAGGAAGGAAGATCAGAGCAGAAATAAATTAGGAACTTAAAGAACAATAGAAAAGATCAATGAAACCAAGAGCTGGTTCTTTGAAAAGATAAACAAAATTGTTAAATTTTTAACCAGGCTTATCAAGAAAAAAAGAGATAAATAAGTAATAAAATAATAAGTAAAAAATAAGTAAAATCAGAAATGAAAGGGGAATTAACCAACACAACAGAAATATGGACGATTATAAGGGAATACTACAAAATATTGTATGTCAACACATTGGACAACCTAGAAGAAATGGATAGATTCCTAGAAACATATCATCTTCTTAAAATTCAATCAGGAAGACAGAGAAAAACTGAACAGACCAATTACTAATAACAAAGCTGATTTGGTAATCAAAACTTTCAGTAAACAGAAGTCCAGGACCAGATTGCTCTATATGTTTATTCTACATTTCATTTAACCAAGAATTAATACTGATTGTCCTCAAACTATTTCAAAAAACAGAAGAGGAAGGAAAGCTTTCAAATACATTTTACGAGGCCAGTATTACCCTGATACAAAAACCAGACAGAGACACTATGAAAAAAAAGAAAAGTACAGACTAATATTTCTGACGGACATAGATGCAAAAATCCTGAACAAAATATTAGCAAGTGTATTCAGCAATACATTGAAAGGATCATTCACCTAGAACAAGTGAGATTTATTCCAGGGATGCAGGGAGGTTCAATATTCACAAATCAATCAATGTGATAAACCACATTAACAAAATAAGAATAAAAACCATAAAATCATCTCAATACATGCAGAGAAGGCATTTGACAAAATTCAACATCTGTTCATCTTAAAAATCCTTAACAAAGTGTGTTCAGGGGATACCTTAAGCTAAATAAAGGTCATTCATGAAAAATCCACAGCTAACATCAGACTCAATGGTAAAAAACTGGAAGTTTTTTTCTCTAAGATTAGAAACAAGACAATGATGTCCATTCTTTTTATTCAGTATAGTCTGCAAGTCCTAACCATAGCAATTAGATAAGAAAATTCATCCAAATTGGTAAGGAAGAAGTTAAATTGTCACTATTTGCAAATGATATGACATTATAAATAGAAAACCGTAAAGACTCCACCAAAAACTATTAGAATTAATGAATTCAGTAAACCTGCAAGATTCAAAATTATTACACAAAAAACCAGTTGCTTTTCTGTATACTAATAATGAAATAGCAGGAAAGAGAAAACAATTCATTTATAATAGCACCAAAAAGAATAAAATGTCTAGGAATAAATTTAACCAAGCATGTAAAAGACCTGTACTCTGAAAACTAGGACAATGATGAAACTGAAGATGGCACAAACAAATGGAAAAATAGCTCATGCTCCTGGACTGGAAGAACAAATACTCTCAAAATGTCCATACTACTCAAAGCCATCTACAGATTTAATGTATTCTCTAATGAAATACCAACATTTTTCACAGAACTAGAACAAATAATCCTAAAATTTATATGGAACCTCAAAGGACCTCAAAACGCCAAAGGAATCTCGAGAAAGAACAAAGCTAGAGGTATCACAATCCCAGATTTCAAGGTCTACTACAAACCACGGTAATCAAAACAGTTTGGTACTGGCACAAAAACAGACACATAGATCAATGAAACAGAGAGCCCCCAAATAAGCCCATGCCTATATGGTCAATTAATCTATAACAAAGGAGGCAAGAATATACAACAGGGAAGACAGTCTATTCAATACATGGTGCTGGGAAAACTAGATAGCAACATGCGAAAGAATGAAACTGGATCACTTTTTTACACCATACACAAAACACACTCAAAATGAATTGAAGACCTAAATGTGAGACCTGAACCCATAAAACCCCTAATGGTTGAAAAAAAAAGAGGCAATGATCTCTTGGACATCACCCTTAGCAAAATATTTATGGATATGTCTCCTTAGGCAAGGGAAACAAAAACAAAAATAAACCACTGTGCCTACACAAAAATAATTTGCCCAGCAAAGGAGATCATCAACAAAACAAAAAGACAACATAATGAATGGGAGAAGAAATTTACAAATGATATATATGATAAAGGATTGATATCCAAAACCTATAAACTCATACAACTCAACACACACGCACGCATACACGCACACACAAAAAAACCACTAAAAAACAATCTGACTAAAAAAATAGGCAGAGGACCTGAATAGACATTTTTCCAAAGAAGACACACAGATGGCCAACACATACATGAAAAGATGCTCAACATCTCATCATCAGAGAAATGCACATCAAAATTACAATGAGATATTACCTCACACCAGTCAGAACAGCTAGAAACAACAGTATCAAAATGACAAGAAATAACAAGTGTTGATGAGGATGAAGAGAAAAAGGAACCCTTGTGCATTGTTGATAGGAATGCAAATTAGTGCAGCCATTGTGGAAAACAATATGGAAGTGCCTCAAAAATTTAAAAATAGAATTGCCATATGATCCAGTAATTCCACTACTGGGTATCTACTCAAAGAAAATAAAAACATTAATTTGAAAAGACATATGCACCCCTGTTTACTGCAGCATTATTTACAACAACTAAAGATATGGAAGCAACCCAACTGTCCATTAATGGATTAATGGATAAAGATACGATGGCCAAATTACTTGGCCATAATTTACTCGGCCGTATTACTTGGCCACAATAAAGAATGAGATCTTGCCATTTGCAACCACATGGACAGACCTACAGGGTGTAACGCTAAGTAAAATAAATCAGACAGAGGAAGACAAATACCATGTGATTTCACTAATATGTGGAATCTAAAAAACAAATGAATAAACAAAAACAAACAACAGGTACCTGACTGGCTCAGTCTATAGAGTGTGTGACTCTTGATCTCGGAGTCATGAATTTGAGCCCCATGCTGGGCATAGGCCTTACTTAAAAAAACAAAAACAGTGTGTGGGGGGTTGGGGAGCCTGGTGGTGGGTATTATGGAGGGCATGTATTGCATCGAGCACTGGGTGTGGTGCATAACAATGAAATCTGGGTCACTGAAAAGAAATTAAAAATAAATAAAATTTTAAAATTAAAAAAAATACAGAGAACAAACTGGTTGCCTGAAGGGAAGTGGGGAGGATGGGCAAAATATAAAAAGGGAATTAAGAGGTACAAACTTCCAGTTTGTACTTATGAAATAAGTGATGGAGATGAAAAGTACAGCATAGGGAAATACAGTCTGTGATACTGTAATGCTGTATGGTGACAGATGGTAACTATACTTAATGTGGTGAGCACTGGGTAATACATAGAATTGTGGAATCAATATGTTGTATACCTACAAAAAAAAGTTATACACCTGAAATGTAACACCGTATGTTTATTACACTTCAATAAAAAAAAATGGAAGGCTACCAAGCCTATAAATATTTATTATAGCATAACATATTAGAAAATTCTTTATAAAATAATGTCTCTAGTGACATACATATAAATTATGTGATTATAATTTAGGATACTAATGTTATCCTCAGAAAATACATCATGTGAGTAGCATTTATATGACTTAATGCTTCAGAATTTCAGAGATTGGGGTGCCTGGTTGCTCAGTGGGTTGAGCCTCTGCCTTCGATTCAGGTCATGATCTCAGGGTCCTGGAATCGAGCCCCGCATCGGGCTTTCTGCTTGGTGGGGAGCCTGCTTCCCTTCCTCTCTCTCTCTGCCTGCCTGTCTGCCTACTTGTGATCTCTGTCAAATAAATAAATAAAATCTTAAAAAAAAAAAAAGAATTTCAGAGATTATCTTAAGAATGAAAAGACAGTAATCTTGTTTAATAATGCACACAGTTAGAATCAAAATGAAACTAGGTGCTTAAAATTAAAATCTTACCTGTTCGCTTATTTCTGTCCACATAACAATACTTTAACTCGTAGTCTTGTAATAAATCATGAACTTCCTGAAAGAGACAAAACATGAATTCAAATAAACACACAAGTGCAGTTAGTGGGGGGCAACTGGGTGGCTCAGTCATTAAGTGTCTGCCTTCGGTTCAGGTCATGATCCTGGGATCCTGGGATCGAGCCCCGCATCGGGCTCACTGCTCGGCAGGAAGCCTGCTTTCCCTCTACCACTCCTGCTTGTGTTCCCTTTCTCACTCTGTCAAATAAATTAATAAAATCTTTAAACAAAACAAAACAAAACAAAAACAAATGCAGTTAGTGGATAATCCAACTGTACTAGCCAACCACTACCACCACCATCTGCCATGTGAAGAACCTTTCATGGATCTCCATTATTTAACTTAAACACATTCCATGCCCAGTAAGTATGACATCAACCTACCTCCCCAAGCATATCTCCCAGTACAGAACCTGCACATAGATCATGTTTCTGCTCAATGGGCATTCACTATTCCACCAGGATGTCATGCCCAGTCCTCACTCTGAATTGCTACTCATGCTGATACCTTGACCTTGCATGGTGCAAAGATACCACTAAAGCTCCTGAACATCACCTGAAATCATGCATCCTTTGAAATCCCGCTCAAATATTCTTTCATGAAGTTTTCTTCCAATTTTATTTATTTATTTACTTACTTGCTTATTTATTATGATTAAGAGAGGGAGCGTGCAAGCCCTTGTGGGGGGTGGGGAGGAGGTCCAGCAGAGAGAAAGGGAGAGAGGGAATCCCAAGCAGTCTCCACGCTCAGCATGGAGCCCAATGTGGGGCTCAATCTCATGACACTGAGATCATGACTGGAGCTGAAATCAAGAGTCGGATGCTTAACCAACTGAGCCACCCAGGTGCCCCAGGTTTATTCTGATTCTTTTCTGTGAGATACGACCTCTACCACCTCCATGCTAACAATGGTCATATTTTATTTATGCCTGACAGAAATATTAAACATTTCTCTTTGTATATGACACATAACTGAGTTTTTAACAAGTAATACACTTGTAGATGCTGTAGTATCAGCGAAGAGAATAGATACAGGTAGACGCAAACCTAGAGATCCCTGCGTATGAAAACAATAACCACCACCAAGGTATGTATGTAGTCCCGCTTGGCTCCCTAAGGTGTTGACACTGGCTTTCCTATTCATTGTGTTTCCATTATTAATCCAGTCTGAACTTGTTTATGCTGGTATCAATTTCACCCACCTGGGTCTCAAAAAAGCAGATTTCTATTCCTAATCCTTCCTGTTATACTGACACTTGAGTACAGGAACTATATTTCATATATGTGTATATACCTTGTATTGCTTAGCAAATACTAGGCACTCAAATATACACTAAAGTGAATACAATTATTTTGTCACTGAATTGATATGTGGCCTTAGAGAATTTACTCATAATACACACAGATGGAATTACTATTTTCTAAAGGAATTGGACTATCACATAGGTGGACATTCTGATCCTTGATTGGAAAGTTATAGCCGATCTGTTTTATCTTGCATATGAATAAATTAAACACATACAAGTGCCAATATGCTAAGTTCACAACAGAAACTAACTCAATAATAATTCTTATTCTTGCCATTAATATAGTTAACTTTCATTTCACTTTTACTACGTAGCAGAGCACTGAACTCACAGTTTTCCATTAAAAATCAGGAAACCAGGCCTGACACTGACAGGGCTATCCTACAGAAAGGTGCATGCTCTTGACTCTTGATCTTGGGGTCGTGAGTTCAAGCCCCTTGTTGGGTAGAGAGATTACTTAAATAAGTAATTTTAAAAAGGGTGGGGGCAGCTGGGTGGCTCAGTTAAGAGCATGTGACTCTTGCTCTCTGCGTTGTAAGTTTGAGCCTCACGTTGGATGTAGAAATTACTTAAAAATAAAATCTTTCTTTTTTTTAAAGATTTTATTATGTGTCAGAAAGAGAGAGAGCACAAGCAGGGGGGAGCTGCAGGCAGAGGGAGAAGCAGCCTCCCCGCTGAGCAAGGAGCCCAATGCAGGACTTGATCCCAGGATTCTGGGATCATGACCTTAGCCAAAGGCAGATGTTTAACCAACTGAGCCATCCACGTGTTCCTTAAAAATAAAATCTTAAAAAAAAAAAAACAAACACCTTTATAGAAAAATAAATAAATAAAAATCAAGAAACCTCAGCAGAGCAAAATCAAATAACTTGCTAAGGGGAGACTCACCAGTCTGGCACCTTTAACTCCTACATCATACTACTGGATTCCTTCCAGAGCTAAAAAGAGTATACTACCACCGATAGTTAACAAAAACAGTATTATTAGTGCCCTAATAAATGATCACATGGAAATGGAAAAAAAAAACTAGCGGACAGTTCCAAGTTGAGACAATATTTTCCCTTTTAACACAATGCAAGGGGGAAAAGAATGATATAATAGACAAAGTATAAAAACATAACGCTGGGTGGAAAAAAGATAATCGCCTATGATAAGAAATTAGAGAAAGGTAAAGTTGGTAATTTAGTATTCTCTATTAGTAAATCAATATTAGGTGTGTTTTAAAATATATATATATACACTACAGATTTCATATAATACAGTTTGATGAATTATACAGTAGTGTGATCAATATACAGATTAGTTTACATCTTACTATGGTAGTTTTTGTAAGCTTCAGTGTTTCCTTGGACTTAACGCATACAGTGTATTCATTAAGAAGATCTAATTCTCTCAATAGCATAGCGTATACGTCTTGCCAATCGACTAATTTAATCCTTAATATAGAAGGTGACTCAGTTTTGTTTGAAAGGATCCAGTGTATGCTTTTAGTTGCACAGACTCTAATCTCTCATTTCACTGTTTAACAGCTGTCGAATGCCAGATAAAGAAAACATGACACTGCTGCTCACATTATCAAGTATCTTTAAACAAATGACGTTATGTTACTCGTTCAGCTGAGAGAATTACCTGAGAGAGATCTTACGTATTCAAAGATGCGTTTTGCAACTTAAAAATTTTATTTTTAAAATACCTCTCTTTCAGATTATAGCTTTTCTATGCACCAGATGTGGGATATAGAGTTTGCCAACTGGGAAACCTTACAAAGCTTTTTTGCAAAGAAACAACAACAATTATTATTTTTCCCCCATGTCCTGGTTGATTTGACCCAGGCAAAAGTGGGTCACCCCTCAATTTGAGCCTCAGTAAGTTGGCCAAATTAAAACTTAAAACCTGAAAGAGAGTCCTAACAACCATTTGCCAGAATTCTACTATGCTCCACCACACAGAACCCAAACAAATAAAATTCTCTCTTTTCTACTCTAACTTTATGACATTTCTATTAACTTACAAGTTAATTTTAAGGAATAAAGTAGCACCTTCTGGCCAGGAATATCAGTTACAAATTTCTCACAGTAAGATAAGTTCATCAAAACTAGTATTAGAGAGCTTTGGCAACCTATTTCCAGACCACATTCCTTATTATTTCCTGGAATTAAACAAAAAGTTTTGCACACACAAAATATCTCCTTGGGAAAGAACTGACAACCACAATGAAACCCAGCCTTAGTTTTAAGCTTTAATCACACTGTCTTCTAAGTCCTTTTCCAACTTACTTTGATTTATTTCTTTTTCCTAAGAAAGGCTTTCACAGATTAAAGCACTCTAATTTCAAAGTCCACTCTTTTGGGGGAAAAAAAAAACCACACTTTTGCTACTTGTCCTTGCAAATTTTTAATGATTTTATAATAGGAAAATATTACCTGTAATATATTAAGTTATGAGGCATAATAATGAAATAAGCACCTGGGAATCCATCACCAAACGTGAAGACTGGAACATTAGCAACACTGTTCCATTGACTTCTGCATTCCTTTGCTAGCCCATCCTGCCACCTTCCCCCATGGCTGGAGTTCCTAACGTAGGTATGTATTCCTAAACAATTTGTTGATTCATTTCACTTGTTTCTGAGCTTTAGAGAAATGCTATTATGCTATTTTTAATCTTCTGTGCCATTTATTTATTTATTTAGGTGCCTTGCTTTTTTAATACTATGCTCCAAAAATTCACTTGTGTTCTACCTGGCCATTTATTCACTATGGCTTGATATTCCGTTCTATGCCTACAGTACGATTTATGGATCCATTTTTCTTCTCTACCAGTGAATATCTGGTTTGTTTCTAGGTTGCTTTGTTACTTCCATATTTTAAAACTACTAACACATTCTTAAAATGTTTATGTATTTCCTGGTGCTCATGTGCAAGTTTCTGAAGGAATGAAATTTTTGGGCTGCACACATACAGATGATCATCCTTGTAAGAGAGTGCCAACTTATGTGCTGGAATGGTTGTAGCATCTTACATCCCCATCAAGAGTATACGAGAGTCTCGCTGATACATAACCGTAAAATGCTTGGTGTTACCAGTTACTTACGTTTTGTCATTTTAATTGATATAAAACTGTACCACACTGTGATCTTAATTTGATTCCCTTGATTAGTAAAGGTAGAGGATTCTGATGGTTAGTTTTAAACTGAGGTTTCCAGAAGAAGAAATCCTGCCTCAAGATGGTAGCACCAACATATGCCTGACTCTCTAGCCTACTGGTATACCTGACAGATTCTGCCTTACCAGTTCCCACAATTAGTCAATAGCTCTATGTATATCTGTATATAATATAAATAGATGTTAATATAAATATTACATATAAGCTTTCTTTGAAGAACTCTGATATAGGCATCATGTTTATTTGCCATTTATTTCCCTTTCTGGAAAACACTCATCTTGATGGCCATTTTCCTATTGTATTTATCTTTTCTTTTACTGATTTATAGGAGTTTTTCAAAATATATTCTGCATACTAATTCTTTGTTGGAAACTGTGTTATAAATGTATTCCCCTACATTTTATTTGTGAGTTTTTTCTGGTGAAGAGAAATTTGTCATAGAAGCCAAATTTGTAATTCTTCCCTTTACCATTTGCATTTTGTGTGCCTTAAGAAATCTTTTCCTACCCCAGCCATGAAGACATTT